GTTTTATTTGATATGTGTAGTAAATAAACTTAAAAATAGGGATACAAATGAAAAAATTAGTTATAAATATGCATTGAAATTGCAGAATGACAAATAATATGAAACAAAAAATTAAGTGTAGAATGACAACTAATATAAAACAGAAGGAGTAATTGTTTTTGGTTATCGAAAAACTTAGCCCTAAATATTAATATGCTCCACCAAATATGGTAGTTTAAAAAAAACAAATATACTAACTGGCCGTATGTTGTTTTTATATGATAAACATTTTATTTCAGTCTTCAACATACCAATTGAAAAGATTAAGAGATATGTAGAAATTTTTTATAAAAAAAATCTAAGAAAATAAGCTGGAGGCTTTTTGTAAATTAAGGAAATAATAGATTTTAGACTATTTTTTTGTTTGTCAACGATTTTAGTCTATTTGTTAATATAAAAATATTTGATTTTGATATACAAAAGATTTTGATATTTCAAACTTACATTTTCAAATCTTACCATTCACATCTTCAATTTTTCAATGTCATAAACTCATAATCATTTTCCATTTTCTCTATTTTCATTTATTTCAATTCCATTATTTCTCTGACACTCACTGTATGATTAAGAGCATCTCTAATGGTTTACACCATTTTTACACCAAAATGGTGTAACACCAAAATGGCGTTGGGTTTTGCTCCAATGGTTTACACCAATTTTTACATCAAAATAGAATATTCTTAATAGATTCTTTTTTTATTTCTTTAAAATTTACAAATCAACCCCACTTATTTTTTTAAGTTTAAAAAATTATGAAATAAATTAAATTTAACATTTATTATATAAAAAAAATACATTGTAACATATAAAATAACAAAATATATAAAGCTTTTGTTTAATTATTATCAAACATATTAGATTTTGGGTTTAAATATCACAATTTGTATATGTTTTTATTAATTTTAAAGTTGATTAAAATTTGAATGACCTTTTTATAAATAAAAAAGTTCAACACCAAAATGGTGCAAACCCATTTTCTACACTATTTTGGTGTTGAAAAAGTGTTGGATTGGAGATGATTTTATACAAAAAATAGGGTTGGTGCAGGATTTGGTGTACCATTGGAGATTGGAGATGCCCTAAGTTTAGATTAAATCAATGGAGGTAAACAGGAGGAGTCCCATCCATAGCTTAAATTTGCAACAAATGAATATTAATTTCTCTTTCTCGCTATCAGTAATTTTATGATTAAATACTCCTATTTTTTTTACAAAATGGCTGAGACTAAAAATGAATAATGAAAAAATGCAACAAAAGGTCATGCGAATCAGACCCATCACCTGGAACCCCTTTTGGTGAGTCACCATATACACAC